GATTACACCCCATTTTGCAGTTAGAAGTTTTTTAAATAAAATTTCAACAACACGAAGCTGTTTTGTTTCAACTTTATTAAACTGTGAAGTTTGGCTGACGGCCGTTTCGGCTAATGCCATCGTCGGAGCCTAGCTTGTAAAACCAAATGAGGAGTTAATATAAATTATAAGAAATAGAAAATAGAATATTAGATATTAAAATGAATAAATAAATGAATAACAACCTATATTTTAAAATTAACTCATTATATTGTTGAAAATAAAATAAACGAATAAATTTAAAAGAAAAATTATGAATAAAATTGTTTGTGTATTATCGTAGTTGAAGTGTAGAAAGTTAGCATAGTGACAAGTAATGCAGAAATTATGGGAAGTCGATAATAATATTTAATGATATGACAATTTATTGAAGAATTATTAGATATTTAACAATTGGATATAATATTATTTGAAGAGACAAACGGATTGTTGTTAATGGTGCGTTCTTGTGTGTTATATTCGTATTTATATTTGGTGTGTAGTTGCTGTCTATTGATGACGTTTGGCAATTGAGGCAGTACAACGTCGTGATAATGAGTAAAAAGTTGTAAGACGTGGGCGAAATTGTCTGACTGCGTGTTGATTGTTGGTTTATTATTGAGGATGAGAATAGCTTCTTTTATTTTGAGTCTTGAGGGACGACGTTCATTACAAAGTATGCTAGTGTTATTATCGAGAATTTTTCGAGTAACTGGTATGTTGTGCTGCCTATTGAAGTGATCCTTGATAGCGCATTGCTGCACGTGCATGGTAAGGCGTCTGCGAAGTTTTGTACGTGTGTGTCCAATAACTTCACAGTTTAATAAAATTGAAACAAAACAGCTTCGTGTTGTTGAAATTTTATTTAAAAAACTTCTAACTGCAAAATGGGGTGTAATCTTCAACCGTAAATGTTTATCTGAGAACCTCATACCAAATTATATATATATATATATATATATATATATATATATATATATATATATTGCTATACCACCATTGCTGTATATGTTGGAAGAAGACCATATTCTATTCAGTATTGTATTAATTCTACCGAATTTTTGGCATTAATCAATTTAAAGTTTGTCTTTTTAATTTTCCTAGAATTTTTTAGTAGAAATTTTAAAAACTTTAAATTTATTAATGCTAACAATTTGGTAGAATTCCTACATATATATAAGCAAATAGACGGTGTAGCAATGGGCTCTCCATTGAAAGTTCTCTTCGCAAACTTCTATCCTGGACATATCGAAGAAATGTTATTTAAAGAAGAACCAGAGTTAAAGCCTTGCATATACTGCCAATACGTTGACCATATATTTGTTATATACGAAAATGAGGTTCAATAGAAAAACTTCTACAACGACTAAATTCATTATAATTAAAGTTTACAATGGAAAAATTAACAGACAATAATTACCATTTCTAGACGTAGTAATACAAATGTGCAAAATGAATTTAAAATCTCAGTATACACTAAAGCAACAAACAAATGTTTATGCATCAATGGCAATAGTGAATGTTTTCAAACATATCTAGAGAGTACGATTTCTGCCTTTGTAAATCGAGCCTCTTCTGATATAGAAAACAGGTGAACAGAACTAGATAGAATTACTAAATTACTTATTAATAATAGATATAAAAACTCCATGATCCAGAAAATAATAGAACGCAAAGAACAAAAAACAGCAGAAACAGCAACAATGCAACCAACAATAGTAACAAAAATAACATAGTAATAACATATAAGAATCGTATGTCAACCGTTTTCGAACAGGATGAAAAAATTATGAAAAGAATCACAAAAAATAACGCCCAAACAACCAACAAAAACGATAGTATTAAACTACGATTATACTACTCCAACCAAAGAACGTCATCTCTTGTGATGAAAAACAACTGCAACAGTAAACAAGAATCGATAACGGATTATAACCATCTAACATATTTGTTCAAATGTAATATTGGTGAGTGTGGGCACCATAATTCTGAATATATTGGTATGACGACGACCAAGTTATCGAGAAGACTCATGATGCACGTACAAATTGGCGCTATAAAGAATCATATGAAAGAGAAACACAAAACTAAAATTACTAGACAAATTTTGGACCATAATGTTGAAATTTTATAATTTACGACTAGCCGAATCATTACTCATAAAACAAAGACATTCGATAATAAATATTCAACAACGGGAAATTGGAATTCATCCTACCAATAAATTTTGAAACAAAGGAATCACCGATAATGATAACACGTAAAAGTGTTATATGTAACGAAGTTGAAGATTGTAAATGAGCGTTAAGTATTCACTTTAAACAAACAAGGAATAAGCAAAATCATTTTTGATGATTTCTCTGCTTCTAAATTTATTGGTAGGAAGAATTCTAATTGCCCAAATTGAACATTTTGATCATCATCTTCATATCTAACAAATATATCGCCAAAATATCGGCAGTATATATTAGGTTTTAGCTCTGGTTCTTCTTTAAATAACATTTCTCTGACATGTCCAACAAGTTTGCGAAGAGTACTACCAAAGGAAAGCCCATTGCTACACCATCTATTTGCTGATATACGGGCCAACGAAAGGCGCTTCGGCTGTACATATTCTTAGCAGCGCAACTAATTCATCTTTTGTAATTGGTAGTGGTGAATGACTGGAATTGTATATTCTATCTATTATTATGCTGATTGTTACCATCAACCATTAGAAAAATCGAAAGTTGAATTTGAAATTAACTAACGCCGAACATGCTGTAATTTTCATCAATAATTGCATTTCTGACAATCTTAATCCAATATTTATTAAAAAACCACGGACTAGAAGCATAATCGTGGATGACCGCGGTGATCGACTGTCGACTGGAACACAACACACCACACACACACACACACAACACACACACATATATATATATATATACACATATATATATATACATATATATATATATATTTATTTATATATATATACAATACATATACATATATATACATATACAAGAGAAAAAAACGAGAAAGTGTGTGTGTGTTTGTATGCGCATGTTTGAAATTTTATGTTAGCTAAAAATTATTAATATGGCGGATTGAAAAAAATACTTCCGAAAGAATTTTACAAAATTTTGATCAGTAAATATTAATAAGTTTTTCTTCAATTAGCTGCACCTTTTGAAGTATTGAAATGCACGCATAAAAATAACTAAAATATTTTCGTTAGTAGATTCTTAGAATCGACGTTGATTTGTTATTCACAGTGAGTAAAAATAAGGTTTTTTGATGCTTGCTTTCGAGAATTTTTGTTTTAATGAACTTGACTTCTAAATTTGTTCAGTTTTAATATATAATTTGATATTATTATTATTATATTGCTAATTTCATTAAAAATTAAAAATAACCTATTTGTGCCAGTAAAAGAATGAGAATTAGATTCCGCTAAACCACCAAATTGAGTGGATGGTTTGAAAGACAAATTGTAATTTGGTTCAACAGTTTTAGAGCCAGAAGACTGATTATACTTGGGAACCATAGAATTAAATGTCTTCAAAATATATACATACTTATAATTCATGAAATAAATTAATTCTGTTTCTTATGAAAATTAAAATTTGATAAATAAGGTATTATAAAATTTTTTTTTTTTTTTTTTTTTTGCAGAATTGATGTGTTATTAAACAAGAAAAATTTATTGATTGCGCAATTTTCATCAGTGCCTCGACCGTGTACAACTTGCAATTGGAACGAAATTCCGCTGTGTGATTTTTAGATGTATCATACGCAAAATTTATGTTTTTTATTTAAAAAAAAACATTATTTTTGTTAATTTATATTCTGCATTTTAATAAGTTATAAACTACATTTTGAACAACCAAATAGATAATTCAGTCAACTAAGAAATTAGCTAGCAAGTTTCTGGTGAGTCATAATCATATCATAGTTAGAGCGATAGAGTATATTTGCAAAATTTGTGTATATTGATTTTATGTTTTTTAATATTGTTGTAACTACCGACGATGAGTTCGATAAAACCCAGTGAAAAATAAAGACAACAAAACTTCCAAATTATTAATTTAATTATTTAAAAGCAATAATTAATTAATCAATAATTGAAGATAATTAATTTACTAATAAAAGTTAATGTTCACAAACTATCAAATTAACGTTCAGAAACAATCGCTTTCCGAATAACAATTCATTAACGTTTATCGCAAATACTGCTGACGGATATTGTCCACATAATCTGTTATTGAATGTGAGGCCTCAGGTGGTACGCCATATTTTACATCGGCTGAGCTTCTTATTGTACTTTCTAAAAAAATCTTTTGGATAGTCTCCCCAGTAGTTGTGTGGGTAGCGCTTCGATATGCCATGAGGAACAGTGAGTCGATCCAATTCTCTTTAGTTATGGTTAACTAACTTGGCCAAATGTTCATTAAGTATTTGGTTGAAACGTTCCACCATCCCACCTGACTGAGTGTGAAAAGGAGTTGTTCTTGTTTTCTTTATATCCAGTAATTGACGCAGTTCACCAAACAGTTGCGGCGAGAAATTTCGACCTTGGTCTGAACGCAGCTCCATGGGAACACCATACCGACTGACCCAGTTCACTACGATCTCTTTAGCGATGGCACAAGACTCTTGATTTGGTATCAGATACATTTCCGGCCACTTGTAAAATAGTCCGCTACAACCAGAATGTAACGGTTTTCATTATTTGATTCAAAAAATGGTCTGGCAACGTCGATAGCAATTCTTACGAAGGGCATACCAGCAATATTTAATTTTGTATTAGATCGTTTAATTTGATGAAATTTGATTAAATTTTGAACTCGTTTTAAGTTCAAGATCAAGATCATGAAACCAAGCTTGACGCTCTAAAATTTGCCAACAAAAAACACGAGCGTCAAATGATCTGGAAACTGATCTCTGAACTAAACAGAACCAGAAAGCTGAACGGCAGTATTCCAGTTTCAAGTCAGAACTCCTAACTCCTGAGCCAGATACTTCTCAACTCGACTAAACAACAAGAACTTGAAGGTGAATCTCGACAACAGCCCTCCGTCATCTAGCAACATCACTGGTATTCCAATCGACGACATCACTCGTGAAGAAGTAAGAAGTGCAACCGAGACACTCAGATGAAACAAAGAACCTGACTCAGACTAGGCAATGACAGCTGAAGTGTTTAAAGATAGGAATGATTTTGTGGTAGACCAGCTGCACATCATATCTTAACTGGTTTACAAACAGCTCAAGGCGTCAAAACAATGGACATCAAGTCTCATCAACCCGATTCCGAAGAAAGGCAACCCACAACTCATGACCAATTATCGCGAAATCAGCTTGATGTCAATGGCTGCCAATGTTTTCAATCGAATATTGCTGAATCGAATACCCAATCAAGCAGTTTTTAGAGCAGGTCTGGGGTGAGTGCAATCAACAAATTCAGCTCCTGCGAAAAATCATAGAAGAAGCAAACCTATCGGACATCCCAATGAAGATAACATTCATTGACTTAAAGAAAGCCTTTGATTCAATTGACCGCAAAACGATGTTTGCTATCTTACTTCATTACGGAATACTAGCAGAGAGAGTAAATGCAATCAGAATGATGTATGATCAATCAAAAGTCAAGTACTCATCGGAGGGGAAATGTCTGAACCCTTCGTCATAACAACAAGCTTCCTACAAGGTGACGTGCTTGCACCGTTCCTCTTCATATTAGTTATCGATTATGTCTCTAGACAATCTGCTGGTTATTTTGGCTGTCTAACACATTAATCAACATTTTGGCAAAAAAAACCAACTACCTCAAAGATTATGCGTCAAGACAGCAGAAGAAAGTGCCTATAAGGTCGGCTTAGAGATAAATATTGAAAAGGCTGTCCAGGTCAAACTAAACGACAAATCAGCATCAAACCCGTCATCGACGCAAGCGATAGTCGAAGATTTCAAGTACCTCAGCGTCAAATAAAAAGGAAGTACGCAATGAAATTGCTCTGGCATAGGTTGCATTCACCAAACTCAAGACCATCTTGAGATGTCCAAACCTAAAGTCATGTTCAAGACTCGACTGTTCGATGCGGCATTTTTGTTGGCGTCGCTTTATGGATGCAAATCGTGGGCTCTAACGGAAGCTATAAAGCATAAACTCGACATTTTTGAATGGTATTGAATCATGCTAAATATCAACCAAGCCGAAGCTCACATGACCAACAAAGAGCTTCACAAGAAAATTAATCAAATCCTAATCAGCGAATTAACCAAGTCAAGATAGTTGCAATTCGTCGGATACCGTCTTCGAATAGATAAAAGTGAATTGGAAAACATCTATGTCATTTATCAATCGAATGTCGAAACAAGTATAAAAGGTCGACTTTTTTTCTTCTACCGAACGAATTTCATAAAACAATTATATCGTCTAAGTAGACAAGACATGTTTTCCAGATGAGACCTTGTAATACATATTCCATTAGTCTTTCAAACGTACCTGGAGCAGTTTAAACGGCATTATAGTAAATTGTCACAAGCCTGATCCGATTGAAAATGCTGTTTTTTCACGGTCGTTTTTTTTTTGATTTCTACTTGCCAATATCCGCTTTTCAAATCTAGCGTAGAAAACCAGTGTGAACCGAACAACGTGTCCATGATGTCATCTATTCTCGGTTGTGGATAACTATCTTTTTTTGTCACTTCGTTTAGTTTTTTGTAGTTCACAAAAAAGTGGGTGCTGCGTCTTTTTTCTTTACTAAGACAACTGGCGAGGTCCAACGACTAGTTGACGGTTCGATGACACCTTGGTTTACCATTGAATAACTACGTCGTTGGCACAACCAGATGGAATTGGTGGTCCCCAGTATTGCCAATTATTTTTGCCCATATGATGTTTTCTGATGATTTAGGCATTTCAATATCACTGCCGACCGTTATACAAATACATTTCACATCGCTGGTCTCCATTACCATCTCCATATTTTTCCATCATTCGTCAGTGATATCTGCTATTAGGAATGTATCCTCGAATGCCAAATTGCCTAATTGAACAGTTTAAAAAAATTTTCCGTAAACGGGCGCTGTTCTTTCTGTAGCCGTTTAAAAAATGTATTTATGAAAATTTTCTCTTTTTAGGAGGGTCAGCGGCAGAAGTTCTCCAAATGATTTCAGTCGAAGATCATTCCAACTATGAAGTCCTGGTAAATGTGTTAAATTTACGTTACGGTGGAAAACACATGGTGCAAATACATCGGTCTCATTTACGGAATCAGATGCAGCGACCTGGAAAGTCAATATAGCAGCTGGCACAGGATGTTGAACGGTAGACTCTGCTGTCCTTCACCATGTACGACCCACGAAATAGTGAGGAAGCTGCATTGGAAATGCGTAAAGGCTGTTCGAGATTTAGATCTTAGACAAACTAGTGGACAAACGCCTACAGTCAAACATTCAAGACAGGAAATCAAGCATCAAAGACTGGCGTTAAACTGTGCCAAATTTGTGAAGAATGCTTGTGTTAAACGATGGTTCTAGAACAGAAGAGCCAGGTGCGCTAAAATGCTGAAAAGTTCCTCCTTGACATGTATGCGTTCGTAGCGAAATAGCGCCTCTAGCGAATATATTTGTGAAGGTTATAACAATATCTTAAATACTGCTTTAATTTTCTTACAAATATTCGAGCAAAACATTTTGTTGAAGAATTTCATATTTTCGATTCTCGAATTGTATTTAAACATAAATTTAATGTTTAGGCTAAAACAAACCGTTGCAAGGTTTAAATTTTAATAATTTGATACTATTTCAAGTCATATAAGTTATAAAATAACATAATTTTAATGTTTAATTGAGCTTTAAAAATGTGCATTTATAAAATTAGTTTACCCTTTTTCCATCGATTTGTCCTGCTGCTGAGTATTTCCAAGGTAGAATAAAGAAGCAAACTCTGAATAAATAAGGCAAAATTTTCAATCGTTTATAAATTTAAAAAAACAAGCCGTTGAAAATTTTGAGCATTTAGTGCTAATGAAGTATGAAACAATGCAGTAATCTTTCAAAATATATTAATTATAATTATTATGCAAATTGAAAAATGATTCACTAATATATAACCAAACATTTTTCTCTCATATTTTTTAAAGAATTTGTATTTTACTAAATAAAACAAATTTTATCAAAAAAATTTATTGATCGAGTGTATCATGACAGTTTTTGCCACCAGATGAAAATTCTGTGGTGTGATTCAAAGAAGAAGAGGTCAGAAATGGATAAAAGTTGACATTGTATCTCCAATGGATGCGTCCTGATACGGTACAAGCCCTTTTCCAGTGATTTCTTTGATGTTTTCATACCTTGCATTTGTATTAATGTTTTTGATCTTTTCAATGATTTCGCACTTGTCCTTTGCCTCTAAGCACATTTTTAAAATTGTTTTATCCAGCTTTTTATAATTATCAGGATTGCAACCTTTTACTTTCCTTCGTTCATCCATCAGAGATAGGATGTCATCTGTTATCTATTTATGACCTCTTCTTTGCTTTTTTACTTCCTTTGCTTATTCTGTGAATCTCTAAATATTTCATATTTAGATTTATTTAGGTCTTCCGTATTTCTGAAAACGATTTCGTACTTCAGCGTTATACTTGACCTTGATCTCATCATTATGTGACAGGCTGTCAAAATTTAAACGTTATTGGGCCACTTCACTCTTTTTCTTTAACTTTATCCTGATTTTACAAACAACTGGGTTATGATCAGTGCCACAATAAGCTCCAGGATAACTTTTGCATTGTAAAACAGCAATCTGAAATAGTCTTTTTATTGTAATGTAATCAATCATATTTCTTACCTTGTTTTCAGGATTTTTCCAAATATATTTTTTCCTTGAGTGATTGTCAAATCAGGTGTCACGGCTGAATGTGACATAAAAAAATCATTGCTTTGTCTACATTAAGGAAATTAGGGCTAATAATAACAGCGCTTGGTTTAAACTTACCTATGCTAGCATACTTTTATATGGTGGTTCATGCTATATTTAAAGCACTACTATTTGTTTGTGCCAATTCACAACCACATACATAGGCAAAACTTACGATGAATGGAAAACCTAGTTAACCAAGTGCCATTAACATCTTCATGTATTATAGTATCAAGCCTAGCTATAAGTGGATTCCCATTTCTCTCAGCATTTTATACTAATGATATAATTATTGAAATATCTATGACAAGCCTTAATAGTACAGTAACCCTAGTACTATTATACTTATCATTGGGAATTACAGCTTTCTATAGGCTATGGTTATAGTCATTATTGCCACGTATAGTAGAGAGTTGTTAAATCATGTTAGGCTTGATAGGAATGGATAAAATCGATTTAATAGAAATACCCCAGCAGTCACTAATGTTGATGAGTGAACTAAATTTCATTTAATCATTTAATAATAAAAAAATAATTTATTCAATACAATTATTTATAAATTATATTGATATCTAACACCAGTGTCTGCCCAATATACTGCAAATCCTCTTCAAAGAATTTGAGGAAGATTTGCAGTAGATAATGCCACCCTAAATCGATTCTTTCCAATTCATTTTCTACTACAATTTGTAACAATTGCTCTAGAAGTAATTCAGCTTCTCTTTCTTCATCAAACAGGATCAAATAATATGATCTTAAGTAATGAAAACTAAAAACCTTCAAAGTTTTAAAAGAACCACATTCAGACAACTGAAGTGAACTAGGCCAATTTTTGAAAATTTATTAGGAGTTATACAGACATAATTTTAAGGATTTCGCACTTATCATTTAACCATTTCTCCATTGCCTCTAAGCACATTTTTTAATTTTTTTGTCAAGCTTTTTGTAACTATCAGGATTGCAACCTTTTACTTTCCTTCGTTCATCCATCTGAGATACGGTGTCATCTGTTATCTATCTATGACCTCTTTTTTGCTTTTTTACTTCCCTTGCTGATTCTGTGATGGCATCTCTAAATATTTCATATTTAGATTTATTTAGGTCTTCCGTCCATTACTGAAAACGATTCCGTACTTCAGCGTTATACTTGACCTTGGTCTCATCATTATGTGACATACTGACAAAATTTTAAAACGTTTTGGGGCCACATCACTTTTTTTTCTTTAACTTTATCCTGATTTTACAAACAACTGGGTTATGATCAGTGCCACAATCAGCTCCAGGGTAACTTTTGCATTGTAAAACAGCATTTTGAAATAGTCTTTTTATTGTAATGTAATCAATCATATTTCTTACCTTGTCTTTAGGATTTTTCCAAATATATTTTTTCCTTGAGTGATTGTCAAACCAAGTGTTGGTAATAATTCGATAAATCAACTTTTCTCCTCTTTCATTTCTTTCACCTATCCCATGAAGACCAACCACGTCATGTATTTTTTCTGGGCCAACTTTTGCATTCAAGTCGCCCATCTTAATAACAATTTAATCTTAATTATACCAAACATACCAAACTTTAACTATATCATTGTTTCCTTTTTCTCTCTTTGTGTAGTTTCAGCCAAGCTCTTTTATTTTAACTATTCTTGGATTATATTTATATTAAATGTATGGCTTGAGAGTGTTAAATTTCTTGTCACGTAGATCGTTTAATTAATTGATATAATATTGAAAGACATTAAAAGAAGAGAAATAAACTAAGCAACGTTCTTGACTTGTTTATTATCAACCGGATCAACCGAAAAAAAAGTGAAGTTACATACATAGCAAAGAACATTTGGTCCAAAGAAAATAAATATATATCATAAATCATAATGTTTTAATATAAAATATAAACATAAAACCTTCTCATTTTATTTAAAACATTAGATGACCTTAACCTAAATGTTCTGAAGACCCATCACATACATCAGATTCTTTAGTCTTGGTCCTTTTGTCAGAGCATCAGCAACTTGAAGTTCTGTCGCAACTCGTTCAACTGAAACTTCTTCTTCTGCAACCTTTTCTCTGACAAAGAAATGTCTAATGTGGATATGTTTTGTTCTTCTGTGAAGTTCTGTATTGTGTGCTGAACGAATTGCTGCTTCATTGTCCACAAAAATTTTTGACTTTTTCTTTAGATCTACAATGTTATTCAACAATCGTTTGAGCCATCACTTCACGAGCTGCTTCACTTGCGGCAACGATTTCTGCTTCAGTAGTTGAAATCGCAACTGAGGGTTGACGTTGGCTAAACCAACTGATCACGCTTCTTCCAAACATACAGATTACACCTGATGTCGATCTTCCACTAGATTTATCTCCTTCATGATCTGCATCACTGTAGGCTATAAGTGTATTGTTTTGACCAGACTTGTAAACAATACCGACATCAGCTGTGCCTTGCAAATATCTGAAAATTTGCTTGACTTGTGCTACATTGGACTTGCTGGGTTTCTCCAAACTTCTGGATGCTACTCCAACTGCATATGCAATATCTGGTCTTGTTCCCGTCATCAAGTACATCAATGCACCTACTGCTGATCTGTAAGGAAATTTCACTTCCTCGTGTTCATTTTTGTTTTCATCAAACTCCTCATATTTTGAAATCGGAGTTGTACAGGATTTACACTTTTCAAGAATCATTCTTGTATACGATGACTGACTGACTTTAATATTTCCCTTCTCATTTTGATTAATTTCTAATCCAAGGAAATATGTTGCAGGTTTAGATGTTATCTTGAACTCTGACTTTAATTCTTTTTCAAATATTTTTAGTTCTTCTTTATTGGTTCCTGCAACTAGTCCATCATCAACATACAGTGCAAGTATGAGTTTCTTTCCTCTCTGTATTCTAATGAACAAACAAGTATCTGCATCGCTTTGTTTGAAATGTCTCTTTTTCAAGAATTCAGCAAAGCGTTTGTTCCAACATCTTGGAGCTTGTTTAAGTCCATAGAGACTTAGCTTGAGTTTACAGACTCTTCCTGAATTATCTTTAAAACCTTCAGGTTGCTCCATGTATACATCTCCATCTAGTTTGCGGTATAGAAATGCTGTTGACACATCAAATTGCATGAGTGACATCTTTTCATTTGCAGCAACACTTAATAGTGTTCTTATAGTTGAACTTCTGACCACAGGACTATAGGTTTCTTCATAGTCAATTCCCTTTTTCTGAGAAAAACCTTTTACCACTTGCCTGGTTTTAAAACGTTCAACAGAACCATCTGGATTGTGTTTTACCTTGTGGACCCATTTGCATGGTATTGCCTTATGACCTTTTGGAAGACTTGCCAAATCCCACGTTTGATTTTCCTTTAATAACTGCATTTCACTGTTCATGGCTTAAAACCATTCATTTTTTTCATCATTTTGAATGGCATCTTTGTAGCTCTCTGGTTCAAGTACTTCACATAATGCAGACATAACGAAAGGATCATAACGAGATGGCTATTTGATATTATTCCTGTCACGTAAAACCATACCTTTGGTCTTTTGATTACAACAGTCAGATTGATCTTCTTCATCAGATGAAATTAAACTACGGTTGTGAACATCTTCATCAGTTGAAATACTTTCTTTAATCAAAGTTTCTTTATTTTCATTTTTAATTTCAACATCAATCGGAACTGTATCATCTGAACAACTTTCTTCTTGCAAAATCACTGAATTTGGTTTGACAACCTTCTCATCAAAAATAACATCTCTTGATCGATGCATTTTAACACGTTTCTTATTCTGATGTTCCATTCGTTCATGGTATAACTGCAATGCATCTTGATCATTGACAAAGTTAACTTCGACTTCAGAATTCAACGGTCTAACAATTTTTGCAACAAGTTTGAACAAACCTACATTGTTGTTTCTTATTCCAACAACACTTATCACATTGTCAATAAGAAGATGACAACTTCTTGAGGTTGAAACAAAAGATCTATTTCTGTTCTTATCTTGAGTTGCAAGTACTGAGAACAAATTTCTTTTTACTTTTGGCACATACAAGACATCTGTGAGTTTAACAGTTTGCCATTTATTATTCACTTTCACTTGAAGATGAATAATTCTTTTTCCAAAAGCTTCTACAGTATCACCATTTGCAACATATAATTTACTCGGTTGAGAAAATTTTTTAAAACTTTGAAATATGTCTCTTCGGAAAGTTAGATGACACGTTGCACCATTGTCAAAAAACCATTCATCAGTGTATGCTGACTCATCAATTGCAAAAACACTTGATTCCATAACAACTAGTGACTTATTTTCATCCCATAGATTGTTATTTCTTGGTTTTGCTGGTCTACCATCAGAATGCCATTTTTCACAATTTCTCACAATGTGACCTGGCAATTTGCAATAATGACAAATCAGTCGCTTTGGTTTGCTGACAAATTTATTTTGTTTTTGACTTTTCATGTTTAGTGATGATGACTTTTTAGTTGTTGCTTTGACAAATAATACTTTATTACATTCAGTTTTGCCTTCCAATGATCTCTCGAAGCTACACAGTTGATCTGTGAGTGTTTCGACTGTTCTTTCAGTCTTGTTCAACAATCTCCAACTTGCAGCAAATGAAAAATATTTTTCTGGCAGAGTTTCAATTATCTGACACATCAGCAACAAGTCACTGTTTTTATCTTTTTTTAACTCAACCTTCAAATCTTTCTAAAGATTCTTGAGTTTTGTAACATGAGTGACAACATCATCATTTTCATCCACTTTATAACTAAAAAACTTCATGCATAAGTTGTATGCTTTATCTTCATTAACTTCATCATATAATCTGTGAAGTTCTAACCAAACATCTCTGGCATTACTGAATGAACGAACTTTTTCATACGATTCATCGGTCACGTTGGTTGACAGAATAATCATAGCACTACAATCTGCTCTATTGAATCTGTTCAAAGCAGTTTGATATTTTGCTATCTCATCTTTATTTGAGTCACCGTTTGATTCATCTGGAACTTTTAATTTACCATTTACTACATCCATTGCATCAGGAATGCCGCGTAGTATTATACAAACTCTCGATTTCCAGTTCAACCAATTACTTTTGCCTTCTAGGTGTTTGATTTGCACTTTTGTTAGATCCATTTCTTCCTTGTCTTTCAATTTGACCTTTAAATTAGAAGCAAAATATCGACTTTCAGAGAATGAAAAAGCACGTGTTTTTTCTTCACTTCAGTCTTCACAAAGGAATCTTCCGATATTTCTTTATTCTAAATTTTCTTCATCAAATCAATTAAGAAAAACGTTATCTGGGCCCATAACCTGTTAAATTTCTTGTCACGTAGATCGTTTAATTAATTGATATAATATTGAAAGACATTAAAAGAAGAGAAATAAACTAAGCAACGTTCTTGACTTGTTTATTATCAACCGGATCAACCGAAAAAAAAAGTGAAGTTACATACAAAGCAAAGAACATTTGGTCCAAAGAAAATAAATGTATATCATAAATCATAATGTTTTAATATAAAACTTAACAGAGAGGAGGTTGAGAAATATGGTGAAAGTTAATGAAATGCAGTGTGGGTTTATGCCTGGTAGAGGAACGGTGGATGCGTTGTTCATAGTGAGAATGTTGCAGGAGAATTATAGAAAGAAGAAACAAAAATTGTACATGTGTTTTGTGGATCTAGAAAAGACTTTTGATCGAGTACCGAGGAAGGTCATTGAATGGGCGTTGAGGAAGAAAGGAGTGAATGAGAGACTTGTTAAAGCTGTGATGCAG